GTGTGTGTGTGTGTGTGTGTGTGTGTGTGTGTGTGTGTGTGTGTGTGGCTGTGTGTGTGTGTGCATGCGTGTTGTATATGTGTGTGTGTGTGTGTGTGAGCATGGACACACACCTGTGCACAGTTCCTGGAAGAGTTCATCAACAGTGGGGAGGTCAGTCTTTTGCTGGACATGATACAGACTACTGCAGGGCCTTTGCACGCACTGGCGGGGGTTGTTCGTCCCACGAAAATCCTTACGAGTCTTTTGGCACAGGGTGGGATCCTCTGTGGAGGACTTGCGCCTGCTATATCAAGCCAGTTCGGTGCTTTTGGCACCATGGCTATGGCGGGCAACAGCGCCGGGGGAACCATGCATGGTTGTGGCACATGCAGTGCATTACCGGGCATCTGCTCCATTCTCCCATCGGACGTGATCCTAGTGATGAGGCAACCGTACTGGCTTCGGCTGCTTTATCATCGCCAGTTTGTTTTGGATATCCGATGTTTTGCCGGAGACCATGTTTGGATTCAACCGGCTCCGCCCCCATGGGGTATCGGCAGGTCACTGCCAGCCCTAGAGCCAATGACTGGCGCGTGGTCTGTGCTTTGTCCCCAGTTTCGCATGCTCGTAATGGAAATGGTGATGATGTATGCGAGGGGAAGGCTTGCTGGAGGATCATCAGCTGCCGGCGCAGCAGCAGCAGGAGGCGCAGCACCTGCATTGTCTGGTGGGGGGGGTGTACGGGGAGTGGCAGGTCGTGTAGGAGGGGCAGGAGGAGTTGTGGTTGGCGGACCAGCTTCTGGAGCAGTATCAACAACAGGGACGTCAGGCGCGGGTGGAGCACTAGGCATGATGAATGCGATGGCAGGTCGGGGAGGACTAGGAGGAGTGGCTGTCAACAGCAGTGGTGCTAGTCGCCGTGCGCTACAGACCGAGTTCGCTCTCGTTGGTGGGGAGGACGGGGGTTACGCTGGCGCTTGGGTTCCTGTTTCTGTTTTGGAGCGTGTCTTAAGATGTGTCCTTCGGTACCTTGGCTCAATGTGGCTTTTTGTTCAGCTCCCCCGCTTGTTGCGACACATGACAGCAGAGCTGCTGTCCAAAGAGGAATACCGTTTTGTCAGCTTGGATCCAGAGCTTCCAGTACTTAAGTACTCGATAAGGTGGGGGAAGATAATCTCTCTCTCTCTCTCTCTCTCTCTCTCTCTCTCTCTCTCTCTCTCTCTCTCTCTCTCTCTCTCTCTCTCTCTCTCTCTCTCTCTCT